CAAGGACCTTGGACAGATACTGTAACCTCTGCATCCCTCATTGTCCTTAGGTTTGAAATGGAGGCCGTGATGCTATATGCCTCAGAATATTGAAATGTGGATGACTCACTTAAAAAGCACATTACATTAGTGCCCGGCACAAAAGCAGGACCCAGCAAGTATTAGCCGCTATTATTTCCATCTCTGATACTCATTTAAGGAAAAGCTTATTTCCTTCCATTTTCTGGCTAAGGCCATCAAGGCTCAGAAAACCAAATGTCAGAGCCAGTTTTCCAACTCTGGACTCTTGTTTCCAAATCACATGGTTTCTCTGTTTCCTTTTGCTTCTTGGTTGGTTGTCGCATGCCTTATTGACCCCAAGGCTGAGATTCCTAGGAATTGCACCTGGGAGCTTGAAAACCATGCACCATCATCCATCTCAGAGCTCAGGGTAGCTCAGGTCTCCTGGCAGCCTTAAGAATGAGGTCGGTCACCTCTTTGTCAACAAGAGGCGCTTTCTGTTATTTCCTGTCCTTGAAATGTTGTGTTTGTGAACAGCGTCTTTTAGGAAGTTCTCCCCCCACCCCCCGCCCCCTTCAAAATAAGCCTCCCGGTTCCTTTTCCTTCAGGAACTGACACTTAGATCAATGTTCTGGACTGAGATAAATATCACACCTGTTTTAGTGGGCTGACTTCCAGGGACAGAATGTAAGTGCTAAGTGCTATTGGTGGAAAGGCTTGACTCACGGGGGAAACTCGTCCTGTAAGATCATCTGACTTTGCGTAAGGGAAGTTCAACCCAGGCATACGATAGCATCCTCTGTGCACTGGATCAGGCTGTGTCTGAGCCCTGACAACCGACCCCCTTCCACAGCCTTGTGGGGGAATCCACCACTTTTCACGAACCAAGTGGAAAAAGGTTCCTACACTGTGCTCCGTAGAGAACTCACCCCCGTGGGGAGGCAGAGGTCCAGTTAGGGTGCAAGATACGACCGGTCCCCTATTTGGAGTTTCTATCCTTACTAGGGAACAAGATGTTCTAAGTGTGTTTCTCAGAAAATATTGCAAGCTCTGTGGGTGGATTTGTGACTGTCAACCACAGGGGGTTTGAAATAATGGTGGCTAGGAACTGGAGTGAGACGGATCACGTAACACCCCCTCCAGTCTCCCATGAGGTGTTCAGATTCTCCAAATACAAATCTAAAACAACAGAAGACTCCATGGTAGTACTTAGTAGTAGAAAATAATGATATCGATTGAAGTGAGGCTTGTAGACTCAATTTCATTACTTTTTAACCAGGTTTCATATTAACTTAATAAAACAATGCAATATCTGAGCATGTGACAAAATGCTATTATTTCTCTGTATTCCAGGAGGTAAGAAACACTGAACAAATCAGAAAAAAATTATGGAGAAGGCATTCGTCGAGGACAATGTCCTGTGTAAGGAGGAGGAATTGTCCCCCGGGGGCACCTTCTAATGTGTCTTTGATATTAGCCCTAAAGACTTTAGACTTTGTGCTATGGGCTCTAAGGTTTAGGGGTGAAAAAGTCAATACTTTCTAATGAGTTTGCTTAGAGTTTGGAAGTAACTGGTTAAGCTTGGGGTGGGAGGAAATCAAGAGACAAATTATCTTAGTGATGTTTCAAAGCATATGGGTGTGTGGTGGGGGCTCAGATCCGAATTCTCCAAGGAAACAGTGGGACTGGTGGCCTTGGCTGGACTGTAAGGCAAGCGTGAAGTGTGTAATAGGAGCGAAGCATTGGCCGAGAGGCTAACCCCTTGTCAGTAGATCTCAGGACACGGGCTCCTTCATCTCCTAACTCTCTGTTCTCCGTAAGATGTGAGGCAAGATGTGCTCCGCGACAAGGAGGTCAAGTAAAGTCTTTTGGAAAAGGAGTTTTTCTTTTTCTTTTAGTAGTCTCTTTTCAGCAGGGAAGCTAGAATAGGGAATACTCAGAATACTCGGGGTGGGGGTACTGAGAAGAGAACAGGGTTCATATACCCTGGAGGGATGGCCTTTTTAAAAAAAAATTTTTGAATCTCTTTCTCATTATGAAGGTTTCATTGTTGTAAACAGGATTTAGAGGATTTTTCAGGTTCTACTATTCATGTCTATAGGGCAAAAATCCTGGGCAGCAACTTCAGAATCAACATGATCCCCCCAGGGGTTTCCACAGAAGCCCGCAGCAGCAGGACTCAAATGACTTCACTAACCTCTACAAAGGTGCACAACTCAGATCTGAGGATGTCAAAGGCACAAGAACCATCACCACCTACGACCGGGGGAAATGGTTCAGGAGAGACGTCTGGAAAAGGTCCTGAGCTTGGTGCGGAATAAGTTCAGTTTCAAAGCCCAGTAGAGGTTGGAAATGGGATCTGAAGTTTGGCTGTGAGGCCAGGGCAGGTGGCGGCTGCTTTCATCACGTGGCCATAGAGTTTTAGTTGTCAGCTGAGGAGAGCAAGGGCAGGAATGGTGGATGGCTTTCTGGGCGGATGGCACAGAGAGAGATACCAGAGTGATACAGAGCTTGTTCGCTCAGCCCTCGGCATTCAAGGGTCCGATGCATTTGTTAGAAGCAGAGATTGTAAGTCAAAAGCAGGAGGAGGGCAGTTTAGGAAGGAAGGTGTCAGGAAGTGCCAAGGAGGGGGACAGAGGGCTAGACAGATGTAGGCTCATCAGTGGTGATGAGTATTGCAGAAGACAGGGCCGAAGGCTGATGACCGGGGATGTGCCTGATGGGTTTTGCTAACAGGGCCCTGGTTACCTTGGAGGTTTAGGAGAGCCGTGTGGGTGTGAGGCAGACTGCAGGGGATTAAAAAAAAACTGTGGAAGAAAAGGAAAAAGAGGAACCAGGCTCCAGTTTCTGTTCTGGTATCTGCCTGCCTGCCTCTGATTTTGTAACAGATAGCCCTTGTGGAAAAACTTGCTTGAAGGACTTAAAGGGGACTTGGGTGGAGGGATGTGGTATTGACAACATTAAGTCAGCCATAAGGAGCGGAGGCCAAGCCATTAGCCAAAGGAGGTCATAGATACGATACCCATAGTCAGAATGGGAAAGCGGGGGTGGAAGATTTGCATAAGGAAATTTGTTTGGAGCAAATTAAATGACATTAGAAAGCACAAACAACACTGGAAGAAGAAACTGGATGCCGACCTGCACCCTGCCTCGGCCTTGCAGGCATCTTGAAGCTCTGTAACTGGATAGCCCGGAAAAGACTTGGTGTATCCTAGATGGGCCAACTTGGGCAACTACCTTTGGTAGGCCAATTTCCTGGTCTGGAAAAATGGCAATAGGAATATTAAAAGAAAAGATAATACATGTAAAATGCTTGGTGTTAGCAAGGATCTTATTAATGTATTTAAATCACTTCATTCGGGCATGATTGTCATGCAGACAGCTGTAACTATTCAATGTGTGTAACTTCAGGTTATACACCTGTACAGTCACCCCTGTCACCATCTCCAAAGCAAGCTTCCCTTTCTTCTTCCCTCCCCCTCCCTCCCTCCCTCCCTCCCTCCCTCCCCCCTTTCTTCTGTGCTAAGAACCCTCTTAGCAAAATTGTAAGTATTGCAATGCAATATTTTTAATTACAGACATTATGCTATAAAGCAGATCTCAACAATGATTCTTAAATGTCTTGAAATATTTGGGTCACCCAAGATTTAAGTTAAAATGAATCATCTGCCCCACCTCTGTTCCTTATGTGACCTTGGGAAATTGTCTTAATCTTTTGTGCTGCATTTGTTTGTTTGTTTGGAGAGGGCGAGCATCTTAGATTACTAGAAAAGATCACGAAGGTGAGAGAGTACTGGACTTGTGTGCCCACCAGTAACGACTCTTTTTCTGTCCCACCAGCTAGCTCCCAAGTAACGACACAGAGACTTATCAATTATGAAAGCTTGGCCTATAGCTTAGGCTTGTCACTAGCTCTTATAACTTAATTAACCCACTTAATATTAATCTACATCTTATTACGTGGCATCACCTCTCTTCCGCCTTGTACCTCCTATTTCTTCTCTGTTTCTCCTGAGGTCTCCCATGTACCTAGATTATCTCCTATTTCCTCTCTCTGTCGGAAGGCCTGCCTGTGCCTCCTGCTTAGCTATTGGCCATTCAACTCTCTATTTAACCAATCACAGCAATACAATCTTCACACGGTGTACAAACAGCCCCCAACACCCACCAGTTATGTGTCTCTTGTGGTTTCTTGCTGTGCTATTATAAGTTGCAGAATATCAGTGTGGATATTCTGCCAGAGGGAGGGTTCTTAACCACCTGCAAAGCCACCATTCCTTCTGCTCCCCTCTCCTGCTCAGCAGGTCACACTATTTCCCATGGTGACCTAAGAACAGAGGTGGATTTTTAATAGCCCAGGGAGTTTACAGAAAATTAAAGCCATCCGTTGGTATTGGTAATGACACTCTCTTTTGGGAGACAGCTAACATCATGTGCTGGACGTCGGCTCAGCTGCACCAGCTATTCCAAACTTTGCTCTAAGGAGCTGTGTTGTTGGGAATGTCCCCACCCCCACACTGTACTCAAGACTCTGCCCTATATTCCTGTGCCTAAAGCAACTGGCATTCTTACACTGTGCGTCTTCAGTGGGGCCCAGGAATCTGTCTATTCCTTTGACAGCTGTCACATAAATGAGTCCTGTTCTGCAGAACTTGCTCGTAACTGGGATACGCAGGTAGAAGCATGCCATGCCATTCAAGGGCACTTCAAATCCTGCCACTCATGGTTGGTAGTCCAATCTCAGAGGGCAGGATTGGCCCTTCAGTGAACCAAATCATCATGCTATTTGAGATACGGCTGGCTGTCTTCCATGATAGCAGTTTCTAAGGATCGGTATGTTTTCCTCAAGTCCTGACCTGCCATGCTCAGGTGGTAAAAGGTTTTCAAACCAATCTTCTCTGGTCGTAAAGCCAATAATGATAGCGCTTCTTGCATTAGCCGGCATTTCCCCTTCCCACACCTACCTAGGTAAATGAAAGACTAGATAAGAGGCCGGAAGATAAGGGGACAAAGTGTGAGAAATGTTTATTGAGAAGGAAATGGAACATGTCCTCTTTCACGAGTTAACAGCACAGTGTGGTAAGTGGCTGGTTTACAAGGGTGAACCCAGTGAATTTGGGGACAGCTCTGCCAACTCTAGTGTCACTAATGAGAGCCACCTGATAAGGGGGCTAGACCCATTTACTCCTAAATAAAATAGTCGTTCAACTTCATTTAGATTTATGTCCTATAAAGAATACCGACATTTGTACTTCCAATTTCAGAGTCATGGGCCACTGTGATGTTTAGTCGGTAACTTAGTGTCATTTTCTTGTAGCTTTCAGGTGCAGGTGGCCGACACTGAGCATTCATTTACCCCCCTGCTATCTTTGGCACAATTTCTGACTTCGTAAATATAAAAGCACAGGTTTAAGGTGGCTAATGATACTACAGAAAACACTGTTGATAAGAATCTATCTCCATGTTAAGTACAAGTTTTTGTTGAGCTTTATTTACAAGATGGGGGCAGAAGTGTAGACTTTTAATAAGCTATCTTCAGACATGAGCAGGAGAAAGACAGCAGAGGATTCGAAGTAGCAAGGCCAAGATTCTCCAAACGATTCTTTCTGAAGGAGGAGGCAGAAGGAAATGAAGCGTTTTCCCTGAACCACTGGTACCAGTAGCTCATGGCCTGGGTTTATTCTGTAAGAATACATATAGAGTTGGCCATGATGGCACATACTTTTCAGCCCCATACTAGGGAGGCAGAGGCAGGAGAATCTTTATGAGTTGGGCCAACCTAATCTACATCGTGAGTTCCATGACAGCCAGTCCTATGTAGAAAGACCCTCTCTCAAAAAAAAAAAAACCAAACAGTAATATATATGCAATGTGAAATGTGTGTGTGTGTATGTGTGTGTGTGTGTGTGCAACATGACTTATTCCATTTAGGCAGCCCATTTTGAAATGCAACTTGGTGGTGGCTTGCCAATGTTGTTTCTGCACTAGTGGGCAGAGAGAACCAAGGGTAGTGAAGTAGCAGCCTTGTGAAGTGGGCCTGAGTGTACTTGAAGCCTTCTGTTTGGATCTGGGCATATCCAGCCTTTGGGAGAGCTGCCTTTGTCAATGCATTTATTCAATGCCTACAGGGGGCGCCTCCCCTGGAGGGAGCTTGAACCTGGAAGTTGTAAATGATGGGCTGTGCCACCATAGAGTTTCACCACAATACATTTCTGTTTTAGGGCTGAAACCCAGTAACCCAACAGCTTGAGTTCTCATCCTAGAGCTCTTGACAACCTTCTGGTGAACTCCGAAGTACACCTCAGCTGGAATTGCAGGCTTTGTTTGCTTGGTTGGTGGGTTGGTTTTTTTGAGACAGAGTTTCTCTGCGTAACATTCCTGGTAGTCCTCGAACTCTCTTTGTGGGCCAGGCTGGTCTTGAACTCACAGAGATCCGCTTGTCTCTGTTTCCCGAGTGCTGGGATTAAAGGTGTGCACCCATGCTGCCTGGCTTGGAATTGCAGTTTTGATTCAAGTACAAGGAGAGCATCATATTTCACATTGATAGTTCCTTACTGATCTCTGTCTTGCGAATTATATGAAAATAATAAATATACACACATATACATATAGTTCTATGCCGAACACTGGCTAGACAGCTGCCAGCATCCCAATACAGTACATGGAATAAAAACCCTCTCCCTTCCCCTAAACCCCACAACTATCTTAAAACTATTATTGCAGAACTATGCTGATCCTTTTTTTTTTTTTAAAGAGTAGGTTGAGAGTGGCTGAAGATGAGGTCAAAATGGAGAATTTGGCACTTTAACACGGTGGGGCTGTTGAGATGCATCGTAATCTATAAAAAGAGAGACGGCAGAGGAAGTCACGCCAATAGAAAGTCTGAGTAAAAATTTGTAGCCAATAATAATATTGTTTAAAAACCCCCAAACACTGGTCTATGCATGAGAAAGCAATTTCTCTCCCACGTCCATTACCTAGTGCCAACAGCTAACTCTTCCATATACGTCCACACTTGGTTTTATAGAATTAGAAAATCCAGATAACACAGTTTTCTTCATTTCCCTTCATTCTACCCCACCCCCAATTCCCAAACCCAGAGAACAAAGGCTCTAACGCCAAATATAGAAAATAATCTGGAGGTCTGTTTATCAAACTAAATGTACAGTTGATTCTTAGTGTTTCTCTCATTCCTCAGTGTTGGAGTTTGCTAAGAGATGGCTCCCGTGGAGTTGTCTGTCCTCATCCCAGCCATCTGGAGCCTCTAGAACTGTGAGGTCTGAGTGAATGAGATGGTGTCGGATTTGTCCACTGCAAAGCCGCCATTGACATAGGACTTCTTGGTATCTGAGTCTTCACTGTCGAGGATTGCGGGTTCCAAGGCGAAGGGGTTTACGATGTTGACTTCAGATGAAACATCCATCTGCTCTAGCTCCTTCTTGGAGAGCTTCTCCACGATGCCAGTTCCAAATGCGTCACCCAGAACATTCACCATCGTCCTGAACCGGTCCCTGGCAAAGAGACAGGAGAGTCAGAATGGGCCCAGAGTTCATCTTCCTTCACTGATGTATGGAGAAAGAAAAGGTTCTGATGAGTTCAGTTAAGATTTAAGTTAATGCAGAATGCTGTCCTCCTGGCTGGCCAAATGACTCACTGGCCTGGGGGCAGAAGTGGTTCCCAAAGGAACAGAAGTAGAAAATGGGCTCTACTTGGACCATGCTCCCAGACAGTAGCAATGACCTCTCAGTTTCCAGAAATTCCCTCCTTTCTTCCCAAATAAGAATGGGGTCTCCAGAGATACATGGAGGACACCAAGGATGACTCAGAACTCAGTAAGGCTTCGAGCTCTGCCTTCTGTTTTATGGCTTCCCTTGGTATCATGCACTGGAAATATGGGCTCTCTCTTGACTAAGGTGAGGGAATCCAAATATTTGGTTGGGGTGTATGGTATCAAATAAGTGAGCCTCAGGTGGTATACTCCTATCTTTACCAAATAAGGTCACTCCATGAACAACCCGGCAAAGACATGGAAGAACATGGCATCCAAAATATATAAGCCAGTCCAGAAACAGATTCCTCTTGGATACACCCTCTTTTTGTCTTAATCCCTGATAGACCAGAGAAGAGGCCAGTAGCAGGACAGCCTATAGTGAAGGCCTACAGAGGGAGTGCCCATTTTGATACTGAGTATCTGGCATAAGGACTGTGACCATGGGCACACTCGTGAGGTGACACCGTGAGAACAGTGACTGTATCCTTAAAAGGATGCCCTTCTAAGAGGCACAGTGCCACAGACTACTGGCCCAGCGTCCTTAGATCCTGTAGTTTGGAGCTTCCCCTTATCCTGGTAGTGAGAGTCACTGACTCTAGGAAAAGCCAAGGTTCAAGTCAGCCCGGTTTCTTCCTTTACCTGAGATGCCCATTTCTGTGCCGTGGTCACAGCTTCCAGGCCAGGCACAAGCTTGGAACCTCCACAGCATGACTGCTTCCCTTTCTCCAATCTTAGCTGCTGTAAAACTCTACAACCCTGGTCGCTCTCTATTCTGAAACAAGGTTCTATGGAGCTATATACTACTTACTCAGATGGCCAGCGGCAGAGCCACACCTTGGTACCGGGAAGTCGATGTATTGAAAATAAAGCCAGAGACCAGGCTGCTCCACTTTCAATTTTGGGCATCAAGGAGGCATATCCTCATACAGATATTCCGTGGATGGGGTATGTGTGCATGAGACAGGAGAGAGCTGTCTGGGCCTAAGTGGTTTGACTCATTGCCATCATAATAAAACTTTCCCTATGTTGAGCCTGTACTGAACTGCCAGGCATACCTCTAGACAATTGGCTCATATGAACCCATTTTGGTTTCTACAACAAGCCTCTGAGGTAGGCATAACTTTTCTCATAAATAATTCAGTTGGGCCTCAGAGGGGTTAAGGATCATGCTCAAGATCCCAAACCTAGTAAGATACCCGATGAGGATTTAAACAGAGGCATATGCTAAATCTTTGCTCTTGTCACCAGCCCAGAGGACTCCAAGATACCAGGACAGGTGCAGGGATTTTGAAGCAGCTGGTGCTGTGTTTACGAAGGTAACTTGAGGCTGGATACAGGATACATGGGATGGCAATGGGGCCTCGCCCAGCTCCTTCACTATATTGTCTCGTATTTAAGCGTGCCCCCTAACCTCAAGTGTCACCACACACACCATGAACTGATGGAGCTCACTGGCTTTTGAGAACCCCCGCTGAAGTGATGAAGAGTTAAGTTTAAGCATGTTATCCGATGGTTTCACCAAAAGGAAATGAAAGCCGCGACAGATGGCTCATTAGGCAATGTCAGGAGAAAAGCAGGGCGCAACAAAGCGTTTGCCTGGCTAGGAAGCCGCCGGCCCAACCAGCGGAGGCAGGGGTATTCAGTCCAACTCACAGGAGCCAGTCCACAGCGATGATGAGGGTGACATCCTCAGCAGGCAGGCCTACCGCACTCAGCACGATCACCATGGTCACCATGCCAGCTTGGGGCACGCCAGCAGCTCCAATGCTGGCAGCGGTGGCTGTGATACTGTAGCCAAAACACAATGGCAGGAAAGGGTTAGATCTCTCTTTCTCCCAGCAAGGCCTCAAGCCCGAAACAGGCTCCGTGGCTGTTACTGTTCTGTTCCTATAGTGGACAGCTAACACTTGTTTGTTAACCAGTTCCGACTTGTGTGTATCTATTTATCTGCCTACAATCCATCCATCCATCATATATATATATATATATAATATTATATATATATTACACAACACATACATACATATCTATCACATGATGGGAGCTGCTGGGGCTTCAGAGGAGCAGGATGTCATGGCAGCAGGAGAGCATTTGTCAGATCATCCTAAAGCAAGGAAGTACAGAATCACAGCCAGTGACATCAGAACTGCGGCAGACTTGCTCAGGATAGTCGGAATTTACCTACAGGAGCTTTTGTGCAAGGCTTTATCTACCTATCCAGTGCCCCCATCCTAAGCGCCAGATTCCTCTCACTGGTGGCCTTCCTCCTTCAGTCTCTGCTGTTCGATCATTTACAGAACCTTCAGTATGTGCCAGGGTCTTCTGCTGCCTGGAAAGGTGAGAAGAGGGACCCTGGAGTATCTGATGGTCAAGGATGCCTGAGGTGACGGCAGAGGATAGAGCCGTGGTTAAGCAGCTTTTATGTAATTTTCCGATACCACAAGACTCTTGCCTTCTCCAAGAACACCTATTCGGGGCATTGAATTGAGACACTGTGTGACTCCATCCAAGGCACAAGCGTTCCTGAAGACATTCCAGCAGATGCACTTTGTGCAAAACGAGAACTCTGGACTCCAGGGTAGGTAGCCAGAGGAGCTTCATTACCATGTATCGGACAAGCTCCCCCTTGAGCACACAGAATAAGGCACAGGGATTTTTTTCTCCTGGCAGTGTGCAGTCTCTCACCAGCAGTATGTTTATTTTAATTGGGCCATTCTGGAGAAATGAAGGCCCACAGGGCTCCGAAAGGACTTTGAACTGAATGAGCAGGTGGGGACTCCCACAGTGGTTTCTGGAACTGTGACCTCACCCTCAGGCTAAAGTGCCACTCCTGGACGTGGGTGGGCTGAAAGGCAAAGGTGCAGAAACTGATGATCTTCAACTAGCTGAAGCCTGGATCTAGCGGCAAATGCAGATCCCTCTGGGTCCCAAAGGTCTCCGAACTCTCAGAAAACAGATTCTGCTGCCCGTTCATCTGCCTGGTACTGTGTTCTAGAGGCTGCTCACGGGTCAAATGCCAGCCAGGATTCTTACCCAGCATGTGTCCCTTTAGTGGTTATGGCTACCGGTTTACAGTGACTTAAAGAGTTCGAGAGCTGTATCAACATCTCTACAAGTTTTAGGCTTATATCATCCATCAGGGCTCTCCTTCCTAAGTCCTCTTTGGAAAATCCAACTTTATTTCAATGCTGGTTGAAAAACAATTAAACAATGCATCAGTGAATTTTTTTTGTCAGAATAGATAAGTGCCCAGGCTCATTGATCCCCATTGGGAGCCTCAACACATCATGGTTAGCCATGCCCTTACAAGCTTGAAGCTGGGCTTCAGAATCCATTCAGCCTGCCCTTGAGTCTTGACCTTGCTCACAAAACTTCCGTCATTTGACGGACTTTGGTGTGACCTTCAGAACACTATATCTTCAGATAAGGGGAAATATATGAAGACCTATTCATCTGCTCCGACATATCCTGCCTCAGCAAAAGGCTTTCCAGCTTCTGACATACAAGGTTCTCTCCTAGCATCCAGGTGCAGTGGGATTGGTGCTGGGCTGTGACGTAGTGTGGACACAGGTTTCGGTGTTAGACACATCTGGCTACGTTCTTGGGTCTGTCAATTTATGATGAGTGTTTTCTTCAGCCAGGGGTTTCTCTGAATCTCAACTCCTTGCCTGGATTTGGGAGGTTGGATGTCTGCAGGGCTTTTATGTAGACGAAGCTCTGTAATGATCAGGATGGTACCTGGGCAGCGAACTGAAAATATTTTTGCTTTTCTGCTAGGATCAGTACACATGACATTCTGAGTGCAGCAGCCGCTCCTCACAGCTGGTTGAGCATCCTGAGGGACCAGGAGTCCGGCAGCCGCCTGGTGGGCAGGCAGACAGCAAAGCGCTAGGTTGAATAAGGTGCTTTCCCATAAACATTTAAAATGACTGATTCCCTTCTCCCTCTTTAAGAAAAAGACTTGAAGTCTGTCCTGCAGGAAGGGACATCTGGTATTGACTTTTAAAAAAAGGGAGGGGCTCTGATGGTGGGAACCAGTCAGCTTTTCTTTCTTTGTCTGAATTACCCAATCCATGGCAACAGCCCAAACCAGCCAATCCTGAGGGAGAGAGGGAACTAATCCCACCCTCAAACATGTGAAAGTTTTGGCTCTGCTAGGAAAACTCAGATTCTGACTTCTGGATCCTCTCTCCTACTGGGGGAGCCTGTCTCTTTGTGTGCTTTGGTGCATGGTGTGCGTGCGTGCGTGCGTGCGTGCGTGTGTGTGTGTGTGTGTGTGTGTGTTTGCTTTCAATAAAGCCTGGCTGAGTGCTGAGACCTTGCTTGTCCTGTCTTTTTACCATTGAAACCAGCAGAGAAGATGACTCTGTTCCTGCAGCCCTCGTCAGCCTCACCACGATGACATCAATACCTATTCTGGAAATCCAATGGGCTAGTGGCTACAAAATGCTGCCCTAGGAAACAACAATGCCATTTCTACCACCTCCTCAGTATTCATTTGCCTCCAATTCTTTTTGGCATCAGACATTGAACCATTTCAGTCCTTAAAAATAAACTACTTGTCTCTAGGTTTCCACAATGATCCTGGCTTCCTCCCACCTCTCATTCTGTCCCCCCTCCCTCTCCTTTTCTCCCTCCTACCTACATCTATTAGAATTCTCTGAGACCTTGCCCTCAGTTTCCTCTTCTCTACAAAGTCTTCCTGAATAATGTCACCTATTCCTCACAGGTGGGGACTCACCGTGTAGCCATCAAGACCTCATAAACATCCTCTTGACATGTTTGAATAAATCGTAGGCAGTATTATTTCCTCCACTTACACATGAGAAGGCAGTACTCGGAGAACTCAGACAGCTTGCCCAGGGTTATGGTTATAAGTGTCACAGTGTTCCTGATTCAGACACCGACTCCTGGCTGGTCACCCACGGGTCCTATGGCCACTGGAAGTGGCTGACCCTGACTTTTGGTTTGTAGTTCAGATCTATATTCTCAAACATATCTACATTTTAAATTTAAAAAAATCTAATGTTTTAATTTTTTATTTTCATTTTGGTTTTATGAGACAGGGTTTCCCTGTATAGCTCTGGCTGTCCTAAAAGTTCCTCTGTAGACCAGGCTGGCCTCAAACTCAGAGATCCACCTGCCTCTGCCTCCTGAATGCTGGGATTAGAGTCAATACCACCACTGCCTGGTTTAATTAATTTTTATTATCATTGTGTGTGTGTTTGTTCATACACATGTGAATACAGGCATCTATGAAGGGCAGAGACACTGGATCCCCTAGAACTGAATTTCTAGCAGTTTTGAACTGCTAACTTCTTGGGTCCTCTGGAAGGGTAGTTCTCTTAACTACTGAGTTATCACTCCAGTCACCTAGAATTCTTTTTTATTTTTCATCATTTATTTATTTATTTGATTGATTTTTTGAGACAGGGTTTCTCTGTAGTTTTGGAGCCTGTCCTGAAACTAGCTCTTGCAGACCAGGCTGGTCTTGAACTCACAGAGATCCGCCTGCCTCTGCAGGGATTCAAGTGCTGGGATTAAAGGTGTGCACCACCACTGCCTGGCAAGCCCTAGAATTCTTAAAGGTATCCAAATTCAAGTTCAAACTACCCATCTCAGCCTTTTCCTGTCCCTTAGCCCGACTCCAAATGGTGGCCCTTTGGTAGACAAATTCAGCGGTATGCCCAGTGTATGTCTTGATATAGGCTGTTTAGCAACTTGCTGATCTAGTTTGTGGTCCCTGCTCCCATCCAAGCTTCCCATCTACTACTAATTATCTCTTTAAAATGCAAATCTATTCATGATATGATAAACTGGCATACTAGATCCTCCACACAGGGCTCTTAGGGCCAAAGAATCTGGACTCTGATTAAGCTGTGAGATACTTCCGTTGTTCTGAGCTCTTGGCGCTTGTCCTTATTCCTCTTCCCGGCCCTCTAGGAATCCTTTTGTTTTCTTCCCAGGTACAGTTGATCCTTTTCTTACTGGGACCATCCATGACCACCCGTCAATTTTCCATGAGAGTCCTACCACAGACCCATCGTTTATTTGAGTATCTTCTAGCCCTCACCCGCCAGGGACTTCTGTTAGAACAGGAGCAGATACTTATTTAACCTTGCGTCTTGGGTGTCTAATCTGCGCCTGGCACTGTCGGGCACCTACTGGCCACACTAAACTGAACAGAGAGATGCTTCAGCTACCCAAATCCTGAAGCAGGACTCATGTGTCCCACGAGTGTACCCCTTGTCTTCAAGATGAAACTTATAAACCAACGGAACATCCCATATCCGGGTCCTTCTTGGTCTGTCTTCCCGGAGCCCGTTGACTTGAGGCAGTCCAAGGATCAGTAATGCAAGTCAGAGTCAGACCATGCCTCACCTGATGGTGATGATCTGCCCAACGCTCAAGTCGAAGCCATTCATCTGTGCAATGAACACAGCCGCCACGGCCTCATAGAGCGCGGTGCCGTCCATGTTGATGGTGGCACCAACGGGCAGCACGAATCTTGTGATCCTCTTGTCCACCTTGTTCTTCTCCTCTGCACAGCGGAAAGTAACTGGTAGGGTTGCTGAACTGTGGGATCAAGGGAAAAGAATTTAGGTCCAAGAATGTCAGGCCTCAGTCCCTCCCCAAAAAGAATCCCTGTGTTCTAAAAAGTGAACCAAGAGCCCCAAAGCACGATGGTAATTTTAAAAAATTATTTTTATTTTTATGTGTATGGGTGTTTTGCCTAAATGCATATCTTTGTGTCCGGTGCCCTTGTAGGCCGGAAGAGGGTCTTGTAACTCCCGGAATTGGAGCTACAGATATCTGTGAGCCACTCTGTGGGTATTGGGACTTGAACCCAGGTCCTCTCCAGCCTTTATGCTGGTACTTTTGGCCAGTCCAGGAATCGGAAGGTGCTGTGCCTACCACTACCTCCAGTTACACCAGAATATTTTCTGGGTATCAGGCCACCGCAAAAGTGTAGGAAGTATTCAACAGGGTGGAGAAATGCATTCAAAGAGATGGACAGAGAATACAGGCACCATCTCTCAAACCAGAAGCTGGAGTCATCTTCACCAAATGATAGAAGCTGGCGAAGGATCGTTTGGAGGCTTCTCCAAGACACTCTTCTACTTACCTGGAAGATATCATGAGTGCTGTCAGGAGAGCCTGCGACATGCCCAGCGCGAATCGGAAAGGGTTCTTCCGCACGATTATGAAATAGATCAGGGGCAGTACTACAATGCAGTGGATTGCAAGGCTGCAGACAAGAGAGATAAAGTCTTAGTGCCACTTCCTCAGACTTGAGCCTAGTTTTCAATCAGATTTTAAAATGATGACATCTTTAAACTTTCCTAAAGACCCAATAAGATGGGGATGCTGGTCGCGAAACCATGTCCCCATTCCACAGCTGGGGCTGTCAAGGCTCGATCAGCAAATGAGCCCCTTTGTCACAGTTGTCTGGGAATCATATAGCTGAATAGATTTCCAAGCTCACTGAGGGTCAAATCATCTCCATCTCTGTAATCGACAATTCCTGCTCGGTGTGCAATGATGTTCCTCTCTGCTGCCTTCCACAGAATTCATTCTCCCTTTTTTCTCTCCGTTTCTCTGTCTCTCCCCTATGGAATTTTTAAGCCCCTCCCTTAAACCTCAGGTAATCGTCCCTCCTGTCCACACCTTCCCTGGCTGAGCTGATCCTCCCTTCAAGGTCACATTTGTCCCCAACCTTACTACCTCATTATAGCTTTCATCACAGCCCACCCCATCCTGGGCTCTGGACTAGGCTTGGCAACCGTGTCTACCCTCTAAGAGGGAAGTCAGACTTGCAATAAAGAGAAACTTATACTTTAGGTCTGACCCTCATTTCTTTGCTATTCCTGCCTTCCCAAGGTGCCTCACATAAGAATCTACAGGTTAACCTAAATGGGGCTGACTAAACAAGACCCGCCAGCAGATGGTGTGACATGTAAGAGGCAAGCTGGCAGTTCAGTTAGACAAGATCGAATCATAAGCAGTGATTACTACAAACAGGAACCTTGAGGGTCTGAGGAGAGAGTCCCCTTAGTCCAGGGAATCATGAGAGCTTAGCTATAATGTTTAGTTGTCCATTAGAAACATAAATAAAGCAAGAGACGAGAACTCAACAGAACCCCATTATGAAAGGACTTATTATGCCAGACCTCAGCCACATCACTGCGCATCCCACCCCGTGGTATTGTCTGTCTCAGCAGCTCCAGTGCAGGGCTGTAGAAGGTAGAAGCCCCATCTCTCTGATCTCTGTGGTCTAACAGTTCAACTCTGACCTTCCCACGGTAGGACCAGGCTGCTGCTGTCTGGCTGAAAAGCTGTGTTTCTGGCACACTTGGGTTACCAACCAATACCGTGTTGTGGGAACTCGTCACTGTAGCCAGGGTATGAGAGGGAAGCTGATGGCTCAAGCTGGGGGTTTGAGCCCACAGAAAGCAAAGCAATGTCATTTGCTCATTCTCTTGCTCCACATTTCTCAGTAGGTAGGACCGTTCTGTCCTTGGCAGGATGTTTAGTGGCACCATTCATAACCTATGGTATCTCTTCTGAAGGAGCCAACAGCTGCGTTGTGAGAAATAAAAAGGGACTCAACCCTGTCACCTTCCTATTTGTTTGATGGCTTCAGAAAGGTCTCAAACACCTACTAAATAGCCTGATAACCCTGGTGACACAAATCACAACAGCAGCTACCGGCCCAGCAAGAACATCAGAACCAAAACCAGTCCTCCATGCTCGAGATGGAATTTATTTAGGTCCTTCTAATTTCTTTCAGCCTTGGGTATGTGGGAGGCATTCCTTCCTGTTTGATTAGTTTACATTATAAAGGAAGAAGAGAGCAGGAACCAGCCCCAAGAGCCTAAATGAGTTCTTCGCTTGTTTTAAACCCAAACCAACAGCCACAATGCAAAGTCTGGTCCAAGCTGTTCTGCCGGGAGCTGGCAATTAGCACAGCATGATCCACCTACGAGACAGCTGTTAAAGGGCAACCTTGATGCTCCCTTAGCTCCAAACCCCATCTTTCCCCCCACACATGGGAGAAAAGCCATCTAACCAGCTACACCCTGGCCTTTTTACAGCAGCCCCGGTGCATCTGCAGAGAATTCTGTTTCTTCAGTCAGACGTACCCACTCAGGACAGTGGCCATGTAAAGGCCCAACTTGCGGAATATTTCCCAGTCTTCAACTTCAATGATCTTCCCAGCAATTAGGAACAAAATGCCAATGGGCATGTAACTAGAAAGCAAGCACAAGAAAGGCACAATTGAGTCTTCGGAGCGTTTCTCGGACAGGTTGCTGGTGATGGAAGAAGACTGCACGGGACTTCTCAGTGCGCATGCTCACGCCACTGAGGGTCCGGCAATGAGGAAGCCAAGCGTTCATCTTCAAGCCAGCATGCACTGCTGTCCCCAGTGTCTGCATGCTCTCTTCATTCTGCTCACCCCCAAATGAAGGGCAGCCGGTAAGAAAGGGTACTACAAAAGCACATAAACAGTGCACACACGCCCTAGTGACGATCATATCTGCTCATCGCATATGAGCGTCATCTCTCCAGCTATGATCGTCTTGCGTCTCAGATGTCATCAGTAGAGGCAATGGCAGCAGTAGTGATGTGACCACAACGGCTCCATGTGGAGCTCTAGCTAGCTAGGTCTTGTGCCTGGGAAGCTTCTCACTGGCATCATTCCCCTAGCCCGGGGGTAGGTTTTATTCACTTATCTAACAGGCAACGAAGCTGAGGTTTTAGTGGGATTAAGTGACTTCCTTGGAGGTTACCACCGGATATTTTGCTTTCACTTTCTACCATTTGGATTATAAAACGTTGAACCAATTCCACACAAGCTAGGGCAGGGAAGAGTGGCCCAGGAAAGCTGAACTTTGGGGCGTCTCAGAGACAGGACAGACAGGTGGTATCACTGGATGCTGGAAGACGGTTTTCTTGTACAGATGTGATACCCAAGCTAGCACACATATTATTATAAATGAATTTCATTTCTGCACAGGGCCTAAAAAGAAAAGCACCTTATTTTCCTACACTCCAGGAACTTTCTCAGATCCCTTCTGACAGGAATACTGGGTAGCTCCAGACCTCTGAGGGAAGAGACAATGGCTGACAGACTTCCAGGGCTAGACCAATTCCCGAGGAAGGTGTGAAATTAGCTAATACGCCAATCTTGATCTTAAATGTCCGCCTTCTCTAGGAAGGGCGACTGAGGAATGGAAGCCTCTTCCTCCCAGCTCTGAGAAGGTGTTATCAGGGGAAGTAAACCCGTGTCAGTCGGCGCTGCTCACCACATGATGATCTGGACAATTTTCATGGTCGCCTCATTCAATGCATTGAAGAAATCCACGAGAATCTGCCCCTTTTCTCCCATCTTTCCAATGACAAGTCCGAAGACGAGGCAAAAGATAATCAAGCCGAGGACATTGATGCCATCTGAGTACAGGCCCACGATTTTGTATTCCTTTGTCTGATTCTGTGGGTCAGAACAGAGAGAATCCACTGAAGCATTCTAAGAACCAGAGGTACAATGACAACGAGGGAGGCCTACACATGAAACACTCTGTCCCCGCCACTGAAGTTTATGGGGTTGTTGTTTCTTTCTTTTTAATAAGCCCATCTGCGAACGTGTCTTTTGAAAAATTCCAATGCTGAATGTTGTGAATTTTTATGAATTTTAGGATCAGGGCATTTTCCAGGGCTAGCCACTAACTACATTTAGAGACTTCTTTTTAAAAGGTAGAAATTAATAATGCAAGAACTACACGGTGTTTACCAGCATGAACATTTGGAGGACATCTGTTCCTTCCTGAGAATGAAGCCGAGGGAATTCATCACTGCCTTCAGTCTGAGGTGACCGTTGGGATTTTAAAGACATAAAAACTAGCCAGACATCTGATGCTATGAATCATTTCTTTCTTCTGAGCAAAAGATAGCCTGCGGTTTACTAACAGACAACATAATCTGTGTGGGGCAGACCAGGACTATAAAGAATTATGCTGATGAGCCACTGGGGCACCTCTCATTTCTTATTCATGACAGAACAAATGTTTATGGTGCAGCTAGAATGTTCCAATGGCATAGGCTACAGCACAAGGTCTTCAAATGTCACTGGAGAAACAGGATGAGCTGTGAGAAATCTGAGCCAATATTGAGATGGTGTTAGTATCTTAACTGCACAGCCATACAAGAGTCTCACAGAAACTAGGGCATGAATGCTGTCTGTGAGGTTAGGGAAAGCTAAGTAAGGCATGGGTACCTGTCTTAGTTAGGGTTTCTAGTACCGTAAAGAAACATCATGACCACCACAGATCCTATAAAACAAAGCATTTCACCGAGGAGGCAGCTCACAGGTTCTGAGGTTTAGTCCATTACCATCATGGTGGGACACGGAGGTGTGCAGGCAGACGTGGTGCTGGAGCTGAGAGTCCTACATCTTGATTGACAAGCACATGAACTGAGTCACTGGGTGTGGCTTGAGCATATATAAGACTTCAAAGCCAGCCTCCACAGTGACACACTTCCTCCAACAAGGCCACACCCACTGAACAAAGCCACACCTCCTAATAGTGCCACTCTCTTTGTGGGCCATTTCCTTCCTAGCCAGCACAGTACCCAAGAGACAGAGCATATTCAGGAAAGATGCATGCCATAGGCCAAAGGTGTGATGCACTGGGCTTCTGTAGCCTGCTCCAATAATGCTCCCAGAGCACCCTGGTTTCTCTGATGATGACATTCATCACTCATTGCCCAGGGATGTGACAAATCTATCACATGTCACATGATATCTGTTCTTCCACTATCCTCTTAATGTGCACCAGCAACTCCAATATGGAGGGTGCTCAGAAAACTGTGAAATCTTATCAAAAGTCAGGAATAAGGAGCAAGCAAAGGGTGGATCTACACAGCAGAGAGCCCAACACTCACTGTGGGAGGCAAGTAGAAGCCGGGCCACAGAGGGCCTATGGCCATAGTTGGGAGAAATGAAGGCTTTTTGCAGTAGAAAGCAGGAAGCCAACAATGGCTTACTAAATTTAAATTATATTTATTCACTTAGTTGTTTCTTTTGTGTGTGTGTGCGCACGCACGCGCGCACGCACGCATGTGTGAAAGTGTGTGTGTGTTTATGCTATGTATGTGGGGATTCCCATGGAGTCTAGAAGAGGGTATCAGATCCTCTGGAACCGGAGTACAGATAGTTGTGAGCTACCCAATGTAGGTGATGGGAACTGAACCCAGGACCTCTGGAAGAGCAGCAAGTGCTTTTAACCACTGAGCCATCTCTCCAGGCCCCTACTTATTTATTTAGACAGGGACTCCCTCAGTAGCCCAGGGTAATCCTTAACCTCTTGAGTTCTAGGCTTATAAGCATGCACTATCATATCCAGCTTCAATTTAACTACTAAGTTGCCTGAATAGTCTTCTCTTAAATCTCCCTCCTCCCCTCCCCACTTCTTTCTCCCACTTTAAATCCAGAACAAATACTTCCTTCGGGCCTACTAGGAAACCTACTATACTTCAGCAGTCTCCTATGGGCCTACAAAGTGTCACTTCAGGTCCAACAAATTTGATTCCCCAATCCTGAAACCTCAATAGCTCTCAAAGCCTTGATAACTTTATGGTCTACTCTGGTGACGAAATCTCTTCTGAGTGGAGATGAGGCCACTGTGTTTCTCTGACATGGCAGAACAGGCATGAATTGGTTGCATTCTGGAGTGGCGCTGGATCCCACATAGAGAACCTGGCACATATGCCATGAGGTTCTTCTGAAGTCCAAGATGATACGGACTCAGATTCACATACAGAGGAGAGACTGAGACAAGGAACCAGGGGCCTCTATTCTATGTTGATAGCCTTGCAAACCCAAAACAGACCCCAAAGTCCCCAGCTGGAGGGAGTGGCCAAGGTAAGGCGACAAGGTTCATCTTCATCTCTATGATTAGTTGATGCTTTTATTCCTGGTAGTCATCTCCTATAAAGTCTCCACAGTTACCATGTTAGTACTCCACAGAGAAATACAGGAGTCTTGTTACATCGTTCATATCAAGCTGTCAGTGCATGACTGTTTAATGTGCATTTTTGTTTAGAGATGTCTGGTTTTCTATATGTTGATTCATTAGCATGAAACTCACAGCTAACAGGACTGTACTTGTGCCTGAAGCTTCTATAGCACATATAGTTTCTCTGCAAAGGGCATCGCCGTGTTCTTGTACTTAGAAACATTAGGGAGCATTTTATTACTTTGCTTCTGTCAATTTTATATAGTAAAATCAACAACTAATCAATACATATATGAAAAGTGTGTAATACATTTCACCATCAGGGAAATACAAATTAAAAGTACACCAAGAGTCCATCCTACCCCAGTCATAATAGCTGCTGTTAAGGAAACAAGGGCTGGCAAGGACACAGAGGTGTCGCAGATAAACCCAACACCACTCCTGGGTACACACTCAGAGTCCCCTCAGCACAGAAATACCTGCGCACTGATGTTTGTTGCAGCACGAGCCACAACAGCAAATATACGACCTAGGCGCTCACGGACAGGTGAACGGATAGAAGAAATCCATCACCACGTGGTACATATACACCGTGGAGTTTCATTCATCCATAAAGATGAGTGGAATTACGTCATTTGCAGGAAGAAGTATAGAGCGAACTGAAACTCTAATAGTGCATGTTTTCTTTTCTATATGGGATCCAGATTGAAAAGTCTATAAGGCTGGGCAGGAGCTTAGTGGTCAAGTCGCACATACATGCAAATACACATGAGAGTAGGTGGGGTTCTTACAGAGGACAGAACAGAGAAGTTAGTAGCGGTGACTGAGCGAAGTGCAGGAGAAGTATGTGAATACCCAAAATTACAGCTGTTACTATGCAAGGGGAGGGGGGAGCATGCACCCTGGGGAAATAGTGCAAGGGCAGAATGTTTGTCACACAGGAGACCCAAGGTTCAATTCCCAGTATGACTAACCAGCCGCACACAGCTCAAGAGATCCTCAGTGTAATACAGGACAAAGTAAAATAAATAAACAGACCACGAAATCACCAGGGAAATGCACGATAGTAAATGAAAGTGGGATAAAACATATACCAATGTGGATGTATGTTTATTTATTGAATAAAACCAAAATGACAAGATATACTAGCCTCATCCCACCTCAGTTCGAACTCAGAACTCAGGTACTGTGGGTGACGCGGTTTTGCGCCACTCTTGGGGACTGCAAAAGGTTCCAGGGCTACAGATACATTAGGAGAAGAGGAAAGCTCAGAAACGTGGATTCTGTGCGTAATAAAACTGAACGTCTTAAAACAAAAACTCAACGCCTTTTCTCTCCTGCCACTCAAGACTGGCACATGCATGCCGGGGAAGGGTAGGGCAGCAGGTGGTACCTTAGATATTGTTGTCATGGCGGCGGTGACAGACACCTCTGTCGCGTTCCCCCCAGGATCACTGACAGGCTTCACTTCTTCACGCATGGTTTTGTACTGCACGTTGGAGAAAAGCAAGTGCACATAATGTAAAATGACTTTTTTTTTTAAAAGCATTCAATTGGGGCTATGCCACAGGGATGTTATTTTGGCCAAATATCTGTCACCTAAGGGTTCTACTCATGGTACATCTGCTGCTTCTAGGTTTTGATGATCCTTCCCAGGAGGCACTGGGACTAAAAATGAGATCTGAAAACCCAAATCCCAATAATACCAGAATGTTCTCCCCGTTTTATGACAGCGGAAAGTGAGGGAAGAAATAACACAGAAGGAAGAAGGCTTTATCTGTAGGTACTTTCACAGACAGGGAGAGTCCTGTCAATCATTTTTGTTTTTATAAACTGATTGTCTTTAATCTGGAAAAATAACCTTAGCACTTTGATAAAAATAGCCGTGGTGACTAATAAGTTCCGAGAAAGGTGTAACTGGGTGGTCGTGTCCAAATCAACAGTTCCTCTAGGGCTGTGCTGTGAGTGAGATTGCTGCTGAATTTCTCCCCTCAGCCAGCCCTGTTTGGTTCTGTGAGGCTTCCATCACGGTGGACTGTGAAAAAGCTACTATATTATGATGCTAAGAAGAACTGTCCCCAGGCAACTCCAAACTCTGCCAACTCCGAACCCTCCAAAGGACCGCTGGAGCTGAGCTGCAAAGGCACCCCTTAAACAGAGGTGTTTCTGTTCCTGATGGGGACTGCAGGATAGCAATGCAATCGCTGCTTTTATTGGTGTATATATAGAGGTCTCTGTTCATGTAATTTATGTAAATGAATACAGCAGTTTGTGATAGACTCAGCTGTCTTAGGAGCCCAGATAAACAGGGATTTTCCGTGGGGTGAAGACAGAGGTAAACATTCATGAGAAAAAAAATCTAAAACAGCCATGAGTTTGCTGCAGAGCTTCAGCACCAGACACCTAATGATGTTAAGAAAAAGTCTCAGTTCTAGGTGGACTGGCCAACATGGTGTGGGTTAGATACCAATGGTCACCATGCCAAGGATGGAAAGGAAGAGTTGGACAGCTCCTCTATCCACTGCACTGCATCTGCAAGAAGTCCAAGTTCTTTACAAATATAACACGGCTTTCCAAAATACAGACAAATAAAATAGACCATGTCAGCAAACACTTGCTTTTCCCTATGTGAGGGGAAGAGCATACATGAGAAGAGAGCTGTCAATCATGACATGTATTTGACACGGTCCTAAAGACAGGAGTCACCTGAAATCCCATCAACCACAGGTGAACTTTCTGCTCTCAAATTTTGATGGGCTACTTTCATTTCTTGTGTCGTTGGAGAAACTGAAGTCTCAGTGGGTCATGGGGACAGAGGGGTAACTCAAAAGCAAACCCATGGGTGTTACCTGCTGAAAACAGGCTTGAACCAGGTTCTCAGGGAACATGTTCCTGTTGGAGACACGGAGAACACGATTATATCAGGGAAACAGATACTTTTGGTTGTTGAACTGTATGTCAACAGAATTAAGAATAGCATAGGATGGATATTCCGGTTTCTCTTCTGGGCTCTGCTTTGCATAGTGCCCCTTGCTGAGTCTCTCCTAGCCAACCGCCACTTCACAGATTCTTTAAGTGACACCCTTGCTGTTCTTGGGAAAATGCTGTACAGGCAGATGGATACAGAGTCAAGGCAGTTGTTTGATTTTCTGTACCTTTTCATTTTTATAACAATCTGTTGTATTTGCCAGTATTTGCTGCATGAGCCTAAGGATCTGAGTTCAAATCCCCAGAACTCATGTAAAGCTTGGCACGGTAGTACATATTTATAATCTCAGTGCTTATACGGTAAAAATGGAGGCAGGTACAGGGGAATCTGCAGAAGTTCAAGGGCTAGCGGTCCTAGCATGTACAGCACAGAAGCCAACAAAAAGACCCTCACTCAAATAAGGCAGAAGGAGAGGGTCAACCATTGATGTTGCCTTCTGACCTCCACATATGTGCACCACACAGACATCATTTAATGTACACCTAAAAATGTTAAGGCATCAGAGCATTCAGTCACTCACAGGGCCTTGTGCCACACTATACAGATGACCCACCAAGGAAATCACCCACCGGCGAGACTCACCTGATCAGGTCCAACATGGCATCCACTGTGCTGACCTCAGCGCTTTCGCCTGTCCTGTCGATGTCACTCACTGTCTGAGTGACACCGGGCTTGATGCTCACAACCAGCACGATACCTGTAGCCAAGGACAGTAGTCAAACAGAATTAAAACCTTCCAGGGCAGCTGGTATCCTGGGGCGGCCCTTAGAGAACCAGGTGACATGGTGGCCAAGGCAATACTGTGACATGGAGGGCCCCATGTTCCCAAGGAAATGCTAAGCCCTAATTATCACTCCCCCCCCCGAAGCCAGAGTGCATGCAGAAAAGAAGTCTTCTTGAACTGCTTTTGGATACACTAGGTCCAGCCTTCGTCCTGTTCTTCAGTCTATGATATCAGCCACAGAAGGCTTTGAAGCAAAGGCACACCATTTGTTTGATGTCTTTCTGTTATTTCTACCCGCAGATACACGGCAACCTTTCCGGAACTGTCTTCTAGTAATGTTCTATTGCTTCTAGGAATGATAATTAACTCCAGGTTAATTATCTGGCTTAAAATTATATAGACTCTTGGCCTTACTTCTTTCTCCCCAGTGATACTGACAGAGCACAGAAATGTCACTTCCTCTCTGTTTTTACCAGAGACTTTGATACCCAGAACCACAGTCAAAATTCTGTCTGTAGTACACTTTGTTTGCCGAAAAGGTGTTGTGCAGACTTGAAGGCAGCAACAGCCCAGGATCATTTTGTACAATATTGATTTCTGGCTAAAATGTGCACTTTAAGAAGCCCAATTACTTTTGAACACCAAGTTACAAGTACATAGGAGGAAGAGGGAGTCAGAAAGAAGCATCACCGATGATCACAGCAATGAGGGTGGTGCAGAAGTAATACACGACAGCACGCAGCCCAATCTTTCCAGAGACGTTGGAATCCAGGGCAGCAACACCTAGAGGGAGAAGGACAAAGGTCACGCTGCAGTTAAAAGGTGGATTTCCAGCACTAGGGCCTCAGTAGAGCAGTAGGGTGCGCCGCACAGTTGATAAGACATAGAAAACATTTTAAGATTGCAAATGCAGAATTCAGGAGTGGAAGCCAGGGTGGGGGCATAGACTCACTACACCGTCCACTTCCATAGCCATGGCCTCTGGTTTTCTTGGGGTTGGTCATAAAACAGAAGGAGACCCCTTCTGTAGGTGACATACGGACACTGTCAGAACACATAGATAGTATCACTCAATAGCAGAGATAAGCTCCCATTGAAATTCAGTATTGAGGAACCATTTATCTTGAACCAAGTTAACGATCTTATTGTAAGTGACACCAGGCAAACCACAGTTCCACTGGTCTCTCTGTCTTTTCTGTCAGAAGGCTCAAACTAAGAAGATACTATCGGTCTACAATTATTAAAGTAATAGATATTAATCACCCCTGCCCACAAACACACTTCATCTCACCAACCATAGTTAACATTCTACTAAATTTTCTTCTCAGTCTTGTAAACATAGATAATTTTATAGGTAACATAAAAGTATTAGTCTTCACTGTCACAAACATACCCTAAAGGTAATTTTAATTCATACATAATCATCTTGACACGAGGCTGGATTATAATGTGCTTTTTGGTCCCTTGGTGTTGGATCTTCAGATTATCTCTGAACCTAATACAATCATAAACCATGGTCATTTCATTATCTACCCTAGCATATGTCCCAGCTCTTCTCATGACTTCCAAAATTATTCCTAGGTGAACAAATGTATTATACATGTTTGCTACTATGAGATACCTCAAAAATATCAGGCTGAAAGGACATGAATAATTTCCATGGTGCTGGAAAGTCAAGAGACATAATGGCCACATTGTTAGGTCTACTTTCAACTAGTCTTAGCTACCAACAAATAAGTGAATGTTGCCTAGTCCTGAGAGGTTTGTCTGAAGGGATGGCTGTTACAGGCAGGGGCATCTGTCTCTGCTAGAGGCATTTTCCCCAGGGATGCTTGTACAAGTCGCGTCGACTGATGTTCTCTGAGTTTCTGGGAGAGAGACGGGACAGATTGAGAAACTCTGCAGCAGGCTGTCGCTTAGAGATTTCAAATTCTACACTGCCTGATTTCCAAGCTGAGAATCCTATTTTAAGCCAAAGCGTCACCATTGAAAATGATTTTTCATTTTAACATGAGATGTCCCACCACTGTGTGCAAAGCCTGGAGTTCAGGGCAGCAGCGGGAAGGGAAGAGGTCGTCACTAGACAAGGCCAAAGGGAAGCCACTGGAGCTGAAGGGCTAGCAGCATGCCCAGGTGACTGTCAGGGGCATTCCTCACACCGTAAAGTCCTACCCATCTTCTGAAGTGACTGGAGGACTGGCTCCTCATAGCTCCTGGTGCATGTCTGAAGGGCAGGGGAACTCTAGGAGGATGTCATTGCTGTTGGAGCATGACAGAACAAGTCACTTCTCATCCTAAACACTGTTCTTTGACCTGTGGACTGCCTGTCTGGAAGGTAGTATTTGGAGAGAAGGTCTCTGGCCTTCAGTACTCACCTAAGATATTGTTAAGCATCCATTTACCAAC